AGAGCTTGCAGTGAGCCTAGATCAGGCCACTGCACTCCGGCCTGGGCGACAGAGTGAGACTCCGTCTCAAAACACAAACAAACAAAAAACCAGAACATTTAGTATTTCACAGCTCTGTAGATCACAGGTCCAGGTCAGCTTGGCAGGTTTCTCTGCTCAGGCTTTCACAGGGCTGATATCAAGGTAGTAGTTGCTGGGATCTTACCCAGGGCCCTGGGAAGAATCCACTTCCAAGCTCATTCAGTTGTTGCCAGAATCCAGTTCCTTGTGATTGTAAGAGTGAGGTTCCTGGCTCCTTGCTGGCTGTCAGCTGGGGACCACTCTTAGCTCCTTGCACGTGGGCCCCTCCATCTCAGAGCCAGGAGTGACCAGTCAGATCCTTCTCATGCTTGGAATCTCTCTCACTTCCCTTTCTACTGCCTCCAGGTGGAGGAAATTCTCTGCTTTTAAGAGCTCACATGATCAGATTAGATTGTGCCTGCCTGGATACTTGAGGATACTCTCCCTATTTTATTTTATTTATTTTTTCCTTTTTTTTTCTTTCTTTTTTTGAGATGGAGTTTCACTCTTATTGCCCAGGCTGGAGAACAATGGCGTGATCTTGGCTCACTGCAACCTCCGCCTCGCAGGTTCAAGTGATTCTCCTGCCTCAGCCTCCCAAGTAGCTGGGATTACAGGCATGCACCACCATACTCGGATAATTTTGTAATTTTAGTAGAGACGGGGGTTTCTCCGTGTTGGCCAGGCTGGTCTTGAACTCCTGACCTCAGGTGATCCACCCGCCTCGGCCTCCCAAAGTGCTGGGATTACAGGCGTGAGCCACTACGGAGTGCAGTGACATGATCTCTCCTCACTGCAACCTCCTCCCCTCAGGTTGAAGCAATTCTCCTGCCTCAGCCTCCCAAGTAGCTGGGATTACGCTGATAAACCGGGCACAGTGGCTCACACCTGTAATCCCAGCACTTTTGGGAGGCTGAGGTGGGTGGATCACCTGAAGTCAGGAGTTTGAGACTAGCTGGCCAACAGGGTGAAACCCCACCTGTACTAAAAAAACAAAAATTAGCTGAGTGTGGTGGTGGGCACCTGTAATCCCAGGTACTTGGAAGGCTGAGGTAGGAAGCAGGAGAATCGCTTGAACCCAGGAGGCGGAGGTTGCAGTGAGCTGAGATGGCGCCATTGCACTCCAGCCTGCGGAACAAGAGCGAGACTCCATTTCAAAAAAAACCAAAAAACCAAAAAAAAAAAAAAAAAAAAAAAAAAAAAAAAACAAAAACACGCTGATAAACCTTAATAAATGGAGTAAAAAGTTGCAATGAGAGCATGTAGCAGAGATACCAAACCCTTTTCAAGGAGATTGGTAAGGCATGTATGGCTTCCTAAAGCAGGTTAACATCTAAGCTGAAATGTGAAGAATGGGCTCAAAGAGTTAATGCTCCCAGACACCACTGTGCTTGCAGAAGGCTTGAGGGGCTGTGCCCTCAGGGCTATATTTGCCTTGGTGCCATCAGTTTAGGTCTGAATTTCTGAGCAAGGGTATCTTTTTTCTTTTTCATTACCCAAAGAAAATATTTTAGAGGCAGAGTCTCACTATGTTACCCCATTTGGCCTCGAACTTGGGTTCAAGTAATCCTCCTTAGTCACCTGAGCAGCTGGGAAGAGCAGTGTGGCCTGGTAGGCCAAGTTTGTCAGTAGGTCAAAGCAAGACAGGGTGGAGCTCCTGGTGCTTAGCATCCCAGCAGTTGCCACTCTGCAGTGGGCAGAGTTCATGGTCCATGCATGAAGTTCCCAACCTGCCACCCCTTTCCTGCGGCACCAGGGAGAATTTGTGACCTTCTCTCATTTGGCTTCTGATGCTTCTCTTTTTAAATTTTTTATAGACACTGGTCTCACTATGTTGCTCAGGCTGGTCTCAAACTTCTGGGCTCAAGCAATCCCGCCTCAGCCTTCCAAAGTGCTGGGATTACAGGTGTGAGCCATGGCGCCCAGCCACTTCTCCTTTTTGAGGCGCTTTCCTTCCCCATCTTCCCATTTTTAGTTGATATTATTTTGAGGTAGGGCCTCAATGCAAAGCTCTTTAGTTTATTCATTCATTCATATGTTCACCTGTTAATTAAAAAGACCATCTATTGAGCACCTACCACATGCCTGGTACAGTGCTATGGAGATATGGCAGAGAACAAGGTCCTGGGGGCCCCTGCCCTCGCTATCTGAAGACATGCTAAATGGAAATCTTTCAGCTAGAGTCCACAACCATTCATTCATGAAACTAAAAACATCTGTTCAAAACCTGTTGCTACATGCTGTGGAGACTTTCTTCTCAGAGGGAAGCCAAAAGAACAATGGTACTTACCATGGATTGAGCACTAGTTCCTTTGATACTATTATTGACATCCCTATTTCACACAGGAGGAAAGCGAGGCAATTGGAGGTTTACCCAACATTACTCAGCTCGTAAGTTGCCAAGCCGGCATTTCAATCAGGTATTCTGACCTACAGGAGTTGCCTGCTCTAACATTAGGGAGTTTATATGCCTGCCAGACACCAGGCATTGTGGAGGGCTTTGTATAAGTCCTAGCATTTAATTCTCCTAATAACCCTACCAAAGGGTGATATTTATTGCCACTTTAGAGATGCAGAAATTGATGCTCCAGGAAGTATAGTACCTAGCCCCAGGACACACAGTCAGTGAGTGTCCGAGCTGGGCACTGAGCTCATTTCCGTCCAGCTCCCCTGCAGGAGGGAAGGAGCATGGGGACAGAAGAGGATTGAAGAGTCAACCCTAGAGAGAAAGGAGCCAGGCGGGAGGGAGAGGAAGGTGGGGCAACAAGATGTCCCCAGTGGATGAAGCCCAGCAGAGTTGACAGTAGAGGAGGTATGAAGGAAAGGCCTGGAGGTGGCATCAGGATGGGAGACAACAGTTTTCTATGGGGAGTTGTGCTCAAAAGCCTGATTATAGGCGGGGCATGGTGGCTCATGTCTGTAATCCCAGCACTTTGGGAGGCCAAGGCAGGAGGATAGCTTGAGGCCAGGAGTTTGAGCCTAGCCTGGGCAATATAACAAGACTGTCTCTACAAAAATAAAAATAGGCCAAGCGCGGTGGCTCATGCCTGTATCCCAGCACTATGGGAGGCCGAGGCGGGTGGATCATGAGGTCAGGAGATCGAGACCATCCTGGCTAACATGGTGAAACCCCGTCTCTACTAAAAATACAAAAAATGGCAGGCGCCTGTTGTCCTAGCTACTTGGGAGGCTGAGGCAGGAGAATGGTGTGAACCCGGGAGATGGAACTTGCAATGAGCTGAGATTGTGCAACTGCACTCCAGTCTGGGTGACAGAGCAAGACTCCGTCTCAAAATAAATAAATACATAAATAAAAATAAAAATTAAAAAATACCTAGGTATGATGATGGTGTCTGCAGTCTCAGCTACTTGGGAGGCTGAGGTGGGAGGATCACTTGAGGAGTTGGAGGCTGTAGTGAGGTATGATGGTGCCACTGCACTCCAGCCTGGGAGACAGAGTAAGAATCTATCTCTAAAAATAAATAAATAGGGCGGGGCACAGTGGCTTATGCCTGTAATCCAGCACTGTGGGAGGCCCAAGAGGTGGATCTCTTGAGGCTAGGAGTTCAAGACCAGCTTGGCCAACATGGTGAAACCACGTTTCTACTAAAAATACAAAAATTAAGGCCGGGAGTGGTGGCTCACACCTATAATCCCAGCACTTTGGGAGGCTAAGGAGGGCAGCAGGGATCACCTTGGAGTACGGATTCAGAACCAGCCCCTGACCAACATGGAAGGAAACCCTGTCTCTAACTAAATTACAAAATTAGCCAGTGTGGTGGCGCATGCTGTAATCCCATCTACTGAGGAGGCTGAAGCAGTAATGAATCGCTTGAAACCTGGGAGGGAGGTGCAGTGAAGCCAAGATCATGCCATTGCAACTCCAACCTGGGCAACAAGAGTGAAACTCCGCTTTCAAAAAAAAAAAAAAAAAAAAAAAATGTACCCGGTGTTGGTTCATAACCACACCTGTAATCCCAGCTTACTTCAGGAGGCTAGGCAGCGAGATCACTTGAGCCTGGGAGGCAGAGAGGGTTGCAAGTGATAGCCCCACTTGCACCTCCAGCCTCGGGTGGACAGAAGCCAAGACCCGTCTACCCAATAAATAAATAAAATAAATAATAGCTGTGGTACAGTGGCATCATGCCTGTCATCAATCATGATAACTTTGGTGGGACGCCAAGGTGGGTGGATCATCCTGGATGTCAGGTAGTTCGGAGACCAGCGTTGGCCAATCCATGGCGCAAACCCCGTTATTTCTACTAAAAATACACAAAATAGCTGGGGCATAGCTGGCGTGCACCTTAGTCCAGCTACTCGGGAGGGCTCGAGCAGGAGGGAATCGCTTGAACCCGGATGAGGGGGAGTTGCAGTTGAAGCTGAAATCACGCCACTCTGCACTCCAGCCTG